TCTCTCTCTCTCTCTCTCTCTCTCTCTCTCTCTCTCTCTCTCTCTCACACACACACACACACACACACACACACACACACACAGGCATTGATTGATTAATATCCTGCCTTTTTTCCTTCAAGGAACTCAAGGCAGCTCACATCATTCCCCTCCTCCTCTCCATTTTATACACACAAGAATCCTGTGAAGTAGGTTGGGCTGAGAGTCTGTGACTGGCCCAAGGTCACCCAGTAAGTTGCTTCGCTGAGTGGGGATTAGAACCCAGATCACCTGAGTCCTAATCCTGTACTCTTAACCACTACACCACACTGCCTCTCCAATGTTATAAGAATCTGTGCTCTCTTTTGACCTACTTTTGATTTGATTTGATTTATATTCCACTTTTTTCTTACAACAAACTCAAGATGGCTTACACTTCCTCCTACTCTCTGTCTTATCCCCACAACAATGGCTCTGTGGGGTAGATTTGGACTGAGAGTCTGTGACTGGCCCAAAGTCACCCAGTTGGTTTCATGGCTGAAAGGAGTCTAGAACCTGATCACTTGAGTCCCAATCCCACTCTGTTAACCATTACACCACACTGGCTCTCAGGTTTTGGGGGGATGCGTTTCCTCTTTGAGAGGCATGAGTAAGTGGCCACCCTAAATTCTAGGGAATCTTAACTGTCTGCCCAACAAGCTGTGCAAGCATGGAAACCCTCTCTGTACAATATAATTACCCTCCCGAAAAGCAACGGGGTTCTTTGCTGAAGGAACTCCTGAAGACATCAAGCCCACCTGCCTTGTGCAGCAACCACCTTTCTGCAGAGCGAGTCCTGCAGCCATTTTTCTCCCATTTTGCTGAATCTTATGCAAAAGGACTGGGCAAACCTACTGCCCTCCTCCAGATGTTTGGACTACAACTCCCAGAATCCCCAGCCACTGCCCGTGCTGGTTGGGGCTTATCAGACTTGTAGTTCAACACATGTGGAGGCTGGCTGATCCTGCTCTGCAGATACTGCATCTGGTCTTCTGTGCTATGCAAAGGCCTATTTTTATTGTATATCCATGGCAGGAGAGGATTTCTTGGGGTATTTTCAGCCTCAGGCAGAATGACTTGGCCAGCCTGGGGTAGTTCACAGGCATTTGTTCTGCTGCCTCAGGTGGCAAAATGCTTTGGGCTATCCCTGTAAGCAGGGTCTAGTCATGGAGAATTAGAATCTACTCCTCTTTGAAATGCCACCCCTCACCTCAGAATGCAGCTATCAGGCTTGTGTAAAGGCAAAAGACAGTAACTGTCCTATCCTGAAGCCACAGAAATCCAAACATTGCTCTGCTCACCTGCTCCACACTTTGCAAGGGGCAACCCGGGCACACTATTCCATGGCCACCGGCTGAATTTTTAATCTGACCCTAGTAGTATTAGTAGGCTGTTCTCTAATGACCTGGATATTTCTGATCCATTGGTAAAATGTCCCTGCATCTGATTCAGTTTATATTGGAATCTTTGTGTGTGCATTTATGGCATTGGATGTATTGTGTGACTGGTCCTCTTAATTCAAATCCCATTGAAGACAGCAGAAGAAAGACAACAAGACTATGGAGTGGGGCATTCACTGATGGTTTCCCAGTGCCAATTATCTATGCTGCCATCTGAGAGCTACAGGAACCAAACACTTCATCGATGTTCCTGGGGAGAAAGGGGAAGGCAGCTGTATGGATTGCACTAGCTATATAAATCCACTGCTGTCCACAGCAGTTGTGTGGAAGTAGCAGACTGGGGTCAGCAGGAATGTTACATGTGTCTTTACCATGAGGACCAGAAACATGCAGACAACTCATCTGATTCCTTAAATTAGGGCACTCTGGATGCATGCACACTTCAGATTGTTCACTCTCTTCCAAAGCCTGTTTGTAGTGTCACTTATTCCTATACGCTGTAATGTACACTTGTTCCTTAGACTGAGAAAACATGGATAGAACCATCTGTGCCCAGTTTGAAAAAAGGATGGCAAAACTGTATCCTCACATCTGTCATTTCCCAGGTACAACACCTTCCGGCCTGGTACTCTGACGGGGCCATCGCTCTTTACTGACTGGACCCCACTACTTCTCCATAAATACAAGGGCCAATAATTGCAACCCTCATGAGCAGTATTATCATTGGCAGCCATTTTAAGTGTCATTTCCTTGGTAAAAAGCCCTGCTATGCATCAAATAAACAAATACAGGCACAATCCTGTGTGTGTTTACATAGAAAAAAGTCCCAGCATTCCCCAGCCACCTATGCTGGGGGATATGGGAAGCTTTTCATTCTAAGTTGCATAGGATTGCACCCTAAGCAATGTTTTCTTGGGCTACATGACATACATTTGCACAAAATGTGCAACTGGGAGTGTTCCTCTCTCCCAGCCAGGCATCTGTCTGGTTTTCACAATGCTTTCCAAAGAATGTCTGAACAAGGATACCCCTGACCATTTCCAAAATGAAAAGCTGGCAACTTCAGAAAGTGCGTGAGGAAAGGTACCTGGTCAATACGTTCTTGCCAAGTTCTTCTGTCAAATAATTATCTACAGAAGCTATTTATAGGAGTGTTCTCAGCCATCCATGCCCCCCCCACCCCATACATCAAAGGTTAAACCTGTGGGCGCTTCATGTCAAAGCTGTTATTGTGCAATTGCCCTGTCTCATTCGTGCAATTTTATGTCTTCCGTTGGCATCCATCCTGCGTTTTCCTACCCCTTCTTCCATATTTTCCTTGCTACACATACAAAAAGAGTATCATTGAGGAGGGAAAGATAGAATGCAGTGTTGCTTCATGGGTACAATTAGGAGTCCTCAGTCTGAAAGCACCTGAAATTGGTAAAGCAGGGCTACGATTCCATCTCTGCCCCTTCCTCCTGCCATTAGCTCTGTAAGAAAATACCTTCAAGTCTTGTTGCCTTGCATCCTACCAGGTGCTAAAACTAAAACAAAAAACAAAAAGTCAGGGAAACAGCTCCACTGTGCTTTGCAGCACATCTACTTTCTTTAGGTAGTGCATATGCATGTGTGGTTGGAGAACCCTTTAGTGCTGGCATCACATGGCACTTCTGCGAAAGGAAGAGCTAATGTCTGAGAAGCGTTTGTCACAGCAAATGCCAGTTTGTGTTCAGTGGCCATGCGAACATTCCAACTTGCCAAGCCAGCCCCTCAGCCAGCAGCAGGTACTGCAGGGGGGAAGCACATTCAAAAGGCAAAAACATCCACACCGAGGCTGCTTGCCTGCTTTCTATACCCCTCCTGGCACAGGTGTATTGAATAACAGGTCCTGCCTTCTATTGGTTAATGTGCAGAGAAGGGGATTACTGCAGAAATCACTTTAATCATGTGTTTGTTTCCTGCTAGTCCACCAAAGAAAATAATCCCCAGCAGACACCATTAAAAATGCTCACCGTGAATCCCAAGAGTACCCTTAAAGCTCTCCTTGTAAAGCTCCATTTATTCACCTATTCTCTTTCCTCTCATCATAACCTATGGCTCTGATTTCATCATGCAGCAGGGTGAGCCTTGCAGCTAACTTTAATTATTCTTATATTTTTCCAAAGTCTGCCTTTCTGGTTTGGCATGTTACAACTGTCATAGGATTGCTGCAGAGCTCCAGGGTTGTGCTGTGGATTGCCCAGCCTAGGAGCTAGCAGGGACCACTAACAGATCTTTCCATCCCCAGACCTGTAGCTACTAATTGGTATCATAGCTAGTCATGGCTGCACTCTGGGCAGCCTTCTATCTGCACCCTCCCATAATTAGGAATTAGCACTGTCGACAAGTTAAGCTGTGCGGTGCTCTTTTAAGGGTACGCTGCTAAAATTCAGAACTGCTAACTTCTGTGAATACTCTGTGAAGTCACATGTTCAGGATCCGCCACTGCGTAGGGCAAGGTCCTGGGAACCTGGTGGCTCTGGAGCAGGTGAAGCAGTACAGAGGCAGGCAGGCCTGGCCCAAGTCTCTTGGCACTTGCTGCTGTGTTGCGCCTGCCCCCCCCCCACACTGCCTCCTCCTCGTGCCCCCTCCCTTTGCTGCCTTGAATTCCTTCCATTTGTGGGGCTCATGCACAAGTTGGGTCTCATGTGGATCCCAGGAGGGCTGTGCTGGAAACCGGCCCATGGCGTTGTCCACCAAGGGCACTGGCCCGTCCACCTCTCCTTTCTGCTGCCCCTCTCATGCAGCCTTCCCCTCTTAGAGGATCTCTTCTGTCCTGTGGTCACTCTGGTTTCCTATCCTCTATCTGAGCAGCCATGGCTACTGCTCCTCCCATGGGGTCATCTGTGCACATGGCTTTCCAGATAGAACAAAGTGCTAAGCTTCTCTCTCTACAGGCATTTTTCTTAATAAACCTTTTCCCCTTTTATACTAAGCTGCAGCCTTTGCCTGTGTCATTTGTCCCTTGAAACTGGGACATACCAAA